AAAAAAAAAAAGAAAAGAGTACAGCCCAAACTTTAACCGAAGGAGGCCTTATGCTTCCAGAAAAATCTTAGGGAAAAGTATAGGAAAAAGCAACAGTAGTGGCTATTGGATTGGGCTCTCAAGGAAAGGGTGGGGAGGTTTCATTATTAGCATGAAAATTGGAAATAAAGTTCTTCCAGAACAAGGAGGCAGCAAAATAGTTCTAAAGAAGACTTATTTTTTTATTTAGAGACGGTGACATTCTTGGTGAGTATGAAAAGTGTACTAAATCACTATCAAAATGGCATCATGTAAAGCTGCTCATTCTACTGAAATTCTGAGATCTTTCACCACGTAAAAATTTCCATCTGTCTTATAATAAACAGTAATAAATAAGTAAATATCCAAAAAAGTGGGGGAAATCCTTATGAATCACTCTTTTACTCCTAATTACTTAGAAGCTATTTCTGTATTTCATACCTTCTCATCCTAATTTGTGGAGAAACTCCTCTGACATTTCAAGTATTAACTCACATGATTAATTTGTACATTTTACCCCGAGATTTATTTTTCACTCCTGAGGACATCAGTGTATCAAACTTACTGGACCATGAGCTCCATATTTGAAGTTATGTTTGAGATTTTTCCAAATGGAACTTCTCTTTAAATTTATGCCTAGTTAACTATGCTTGTTGACTCTGGACTCTTGCCTGAGGATTACAGTCCAGTGAAAGAAACCTGAACTTCAATCACTTACATTTTTAGAAAATTCTAAATAATTGTTCTTCAATTAGTTTTCACTCAGAGGAATTGTGCAAGGATCGTTTTGACCCAAACCTGAAATACTAAAAACAGTGTAATGCTTGGCTTCAACAAATTTCAGTCTAAAGACTCAAACATTTGTAATAATTCTGATGCTAATGTTAAATTCTTTATTTTTGTCTTACAAGGTGACCACAAAGTTGTCACTGATCTTTATCAGTCACAACCCGCACAGCAGTCTTCTCTCACTGTTGTGAAGCTGAACTCCCCGGTGCCTTCCTTTCTGGAAGTTATTCTAACTGAAATAACATTTTATTTCAACAGGGAGTGTTCTCTTCTTAGGAGGAGGAGGAGGAGGAGGAGGAGGAGGAGGAGGAGGAGGACGATGATGAGCATTTGCCTTCTCTGCAGTTGGGCAGGATGTAGAGAAGTGTCTATTAGGATTTAAATTTGTATCTTTTAAAGAATTATGTGAGAGCAGCTGCCACTATATATGTTACAGTATCTACTGAAGGATTTGAGTCTCAAATTAGATTTCTGGGTTAAGAAAAGGAACCCTGAGAGGATAAATACACCAGGAAAAAAAAAAAAAAAAGGAAACTTAATAGGCGAATGATGGAGTTACTCTCTTGAGGAATTTGCCTCTTTGCTAGCAGAAGCAGAAATAGCTTAACACCAGTTATGTAGCCCATGATTATCTTTGCTTACAAGAGGTTTACTGAAATAAAAAATTGGGTGAGAGTAAAGTTGACTTTCAAAGTCAGATGCAGGAGGAGAGCGGATATATATGTAAGTGCACTGAACGAGCTTAAAAGCTACTGTTCAGATGTTATTTGTTTTCATGCTTGTTTATAAGCCTTTGGGTCTCCTTGGGCACTTCATCTAGATGTACATGCATAGGGGTCATGGGTATGTCTGTGCACATGTATGAGAGTTTAATTAACTTATATGCAGACACTCAATCATTTCACTGATTAGGTACTTACTGTTGGACCCTAAGTTGTAGTGCTTGAGTCAAGTGGAATTTTTATCACATTTGAGAACATCACTAAAAAGCTATAATCAGAAGAGAAAGTCGATACCAGTATTTTCTCAGTTACTATTTTTACCAGAGATCCTGTCGGGTATTTTAAAAATATATTTTATATAGTATATAATCCAAAATAAAAATTCTTAAAGCACCATAGGTGACCACATGCTTCTGATATGCCAATATTCATGTCCAATGAGCTAGAAGTATTTGCAAATTCATCATATGTTACTTTCGCTTTCTTACTTTAGTATTCTGTTAAAAGTTGGGTGGTAAATTTATTCCATCTGGCTTCTAGTGTGCCACTAAAAAGCTAAAAGGTTATTTATTCCACTTATTTCTAGTAAAAAATAATTAATGAAAGAAATAAAAACTCTAAAACTTGAATAAAACCACATAAAATTTCTTCTTTCTTTCTTTCTTTCTTTCTTTCTTTCTTTCTTTCTTTCTTTCTTTCCTTTTTTTGGGGGGTTTAAAAAGATGAATAATCTTAGAATTTTCTTTAAAAAATAAGACTCATCCATTTTAACCAACAGGAAAACCAACCTAAAAGTTATCATCTTATATAAAAATTCAAGTTCCAAAGATTAAAACGTGTTTTCTATTATAGTGGATATATAAAGTCATTCTGTATACTACACTACTAATAAGTAGCAGGATTAATTTAAATCAGGTTTTAGAGAGGTGATTATTTTTTCTTATTATCTAAAACTGGAAAACTTGCCTAGGAACACGGATCTTTCATATTGGCCATTAAAGAAAACAAATAAAACCTCTTTAAACAGACAGTAATTTTATTATCCAATAAAAACAGTGACTCACTGCAGAGAAAACACCACCAAAAAAAGAAAAAAAAAAAATGATACTACCCAGATTTCCAACACATACATTTATGGGATATACTAAAACACAGAATTTTTACTCTTATGCCTCAAATGTAGCTAAAACTGGATTTAAGACCTTGTCAATTTTTTTTTTTTTTAATTTTTTTTTCAACGTTTTTTATTTATTTTTGGGACAGAGAGAGACAGAGCATGAACGGGGGAGGGGCAGAGAGAGAGGGAGACACAGAATCGGAAACAGGCTCCAGGCTCCGAGCCATCAGCCCAGAGCCCGGCGCGGGGCTCGAACTCACGGACCGCGAGATCGTGACCTGGCTGAAGTCGGACGCTTAACCGACTGCGCCACCCAGGCGCCCCAAGACCTTGTCAATTTTTAAAACTTATTTAAGACACTGAATAATTTAGCTTTTCTTTCTCACACACTTCTGCGAGGCGTGGGGGTAGAAATATGTGTTCTGGAGCCAGAGAGACTCCAGAGTTTCAAATCCCAGTTTTACCACTTAGCTGGCAGGTAACCTTAGACGTGATTTTTATGCTTGTGGGCCCTACAGTTTCTCCTTGACGAAAACAATGTGATAAACACATTTATTTCAAAGAGTATTATTTCATTAATGGAAAATCCAATACAAAGTCTGTACTAGGGGTGTTTGGCCATAATCATCTCTCTTGCCATTTAGAATATGATTATAGACACTTTTATTTCGTTGTGAAACCATGAGATGAAATGTACATGTAAACATGTCACTTAAAAAATATTTCAGCGTAGTTGCATGTGACTGAGAAGTACTGCTGCTCAGTGCCCAATCTGTACAGTTAGTTCCAATTTGACCATCTGAGTGCCTAATAACTTAGATCAGTAGCACCCAGATTATATACTTCGTTACAGTACTTATTCAGCTACCTTGAGGCTATCGGGGAGCGGGGG